TTTATCTGGACGAGCTGTCAGAAGAGAATCCAACTTCTTTGGTCAGATCTTGGTTTTTACTCGTTAGTTTTTTATCCTTGTGTTCTCTCGTGATATGATTCCGATCTTATACTCTCTCTTTCCTCACGTTCAGTCGGATTTAAATACTGGGTTCAGGTTCAATTTCAGGTTCTAGGTCTGCATAGGTTCATGCTGAGGTTAAGGTTTAGGTTCAGACCTAGAACTGAATCATATAGATAAATTAGGTTTAGGATTAGGTCCAGGCTCAATTTTAATCTTTTGGTTCTTTAGGTTTTATAAAAGAGTAGCTGAAGGGCCCGGCGTTGCCTGTGGAAAAATTTAAAATAAAAAAATACACGTAGCTATAGCTTTATTTGTTATTGTTCAATGTACTTGTCCATGTAGCCAGAGATTCATTCGTAATTGTTCAGTGTACGCTGTACATGTAGCCAGAGGTTCATTCGTAATTGTTCAGTGTACGCTGTACATGTAGCCAGAGGTTCATTCGTAATTGTTCAGTGTACGCTGTACATGTAGCCAGGAGGTTCATTTGTTATTGGTTAGTGAACATGTAACTGAAGATGCGGTTTTAGTTGTAGATTAAGCAGCTTTTGTTATATCTTTACTGTAACTAACTACAATTCAATTTATATTTTGTTATATCTTTACTGTAGCTAACTACAATTCAATTTATATTTTGTTATATCTTTACTGTAGCTAACTACAATTCAATTTATATTTTGATGTAAAGCAAAGTTTACTTGTGATACAGGACTTATATGAAACAGCGTTTATTGTAAATGTGAAATGTACTTGTAACTATAGGAAATGTACTCAAAGCATCAGGCTTTGTTGTAACAATACATGTGTCAGTGTACTGATTTGAAGTGTTTGTAAATAATAAATCTCATGTATTTGAGCTGGAAACAATGGAATCAGTATGAGCTGTAGATATAATTACTGTCACATTGTGTATGGAAAACCTTAGTTCTTATGCAAACCAATACAACAGGAAATATATATATACTCGTCTTCGTATTGAGTTCTCAACCCTTTCAAATATTGAAAATAAATCAGTTTAGTTTCCGGATAAACTTACCGTCATTTCCGGACTTATTGGGATTCTTTAGCAATACATAATTTTCTTAATTCTTGACGAAAGAAACACAATCAAACTTATTTTTGAACTTATATATAAGATGAACTTATAAGATCTTTTGGATACAGGATGAACTATAAACCTTCCCTGGAGACAGGATGCACTAACCTAACATTTTCAAGATACAGGATAAACTAACCTTTCCTAAAAACAAGATAAACTAACCAAACCTTTCCTAGATACAAGATAAACTAACTTAACCTTTCCTCTATACAGGATAAACTAACCTAATAATTCCTAGATACAGGATAAACTAACCTAATAATTCCTAGATACAGGATAATTTAACATAATAATTCCTCTATCATGGATAAACTAACCTAATAATTCCAAGATACAGGATAAACTAACCTAATAATTCCTAAATACAGGATAAACTAACCTAATTACTCCTAGATACAGGATAAACTAACCTAATAATTCCTATCTATAGGATAAACTAACCTAATAATTCCTAGATTCATGATAAACTAACCTAATAATTCCTAGATTCATGATAAACTAACATAAAGAGAGAAGTACAAAAATCACATTTTTTTCGGAACAAGCTATCTTCTTAAGTTAAGGTTGACCTAATTACTCTCAGCACGATATTTAACCCTCAGAATTTATTAAGATAGATATGTTTATATAACATAAAATTTACATATATATAGATCCTGTATAACTATTTATATTTATAAGTTGATAAGCATAGAACCAACAGTAGAACATAAACTTTTATGAATTTGACGTCGCATAGGGTAACCTCATAAATTCCGAAAGATATCCTGACGTTGCTTGATATTTATCCTAGGTCAACTTATATCTTTATATAATTTTATATATATTTAGATTAGAACTTACTTATTTGTGTTATCTGTTATATCCTCATAGATTGTATTTATATTGCCTTTGAGGGATTTATAAATACGTTTGTCTCTGTCCTTTTGTTTGTTCCTGTCCTACGTTTGTCTCTGTCTTTTGTTTGTCCCTGTCCTACGTTTTTCCCTGTCTTGCGTTTGTTTCTGTCCTACGTTTGTCCCTTTCTTGCGTTTGTTTTTGTCCTACGTTTGTTCCCCTGTCTTACGTTTGTTTCTGTCCTACGTTTGTTGTTTCTGTCCTACGTTTGTCTCTGTCCTTTTGTAAGTCCCTTTCATACGTTTGACTCTATCCTACCCTCGTCCCTGTCCTACGTTTGTCTATGTCCTTTTGTTTGTCCCTGTCCTACGTTTGTTTATGTCCTTTTGTTTGTCCCTGACCTAAGTTTTTCCCTGTCCTACGTTTGTCCCTTCCCTGCGTTTGACTGTCCCACGTTTGTCCTAGGAACCTAGATAGTTCTCTAGTATAACCCCTACTTTATGTTGATGTCATTTTGTTCACATTTACAAATATGTCGGATACGGACTACGGATATCTGTATATTGTCCAGCTGTCCAAACTGTGAACAATTGGACAAATATAAACTATAATTATATTTGTGGAGGTCTAAACACGAAACCCTGTAAAATTTTCCTCCGAGCTGAGAGGAAAATTACGGTCAACAAGAGAGACAAGATTCCTCAAAATATTTAGGGTTTCTTCTCAAGGTCTCGCCTATTCACTGGTCTGAAGGCATCCTAATAGGATTTTATGGCTGGGCTTGGACACGGAGAAAACTTTCTTTACATCCCCAATTCTAAATCCGTCCTTTAAATCCTAGTTTGAATAGGATAACGATATAATGGTGTGTGTTGGGGGGNAAGCGTCGAGGTCTCTTGAAAATGCGCGAAGGCCCGACGGTGAAGCTGCAGAGGGAGGGGGGACCGGTTCTAGCCTATATCCTACTTTCACCCGGTCAAAATTGGGCGCCAAGGTATTTAAAGGATATAGTTGGGAAACAAATTGAAATATGAGATTATTTCCCAATTCTTTTTCCAATTCTTTTTCCAATTAAATTTTGAAAGTAGAAATTGAATTTCTGATCTTGTTATCTTAAGTTTAGAATGTACTTGATCGCAATTTGCAATATTATAATGATAAGAATGAATGAGAAATATTAACATTAACTTTAACATTAACGACTTTTTTGGCACCTAAAGCGCAGACTAACAGGGTGCAACCCCCCCCCCTTCCCCCATCCCATACACCACACTAAATTGTTATTTTGTTCCTAAAATATTTTTGAGTTATCTGCATCTTCCTCTTCTTTTTACTCTCGTTCCTGTTACGCAATGGAAAAGCGTCGAAAATTCTAATTATTCCGGAGATACTCCACGCTGTATAAATTGAATATTTTAAATTTCTCAATTAATTGATAAAACTAAGTTCTCTTTCTCTATCTCTCTCTCTCTCTTGGTATTCAACTGAGCAGAGATAATGCATTTTAAACCCTCTTCACTCATTTTACTACAGATTTCTCCTACACTTCTCTTCACTTATATATCACCGTATATTCTATAATGTTTCTTCACTTCTTATACATTTACTTCTTTTATATTCTCCTACACTTCTCTTTACTTATATATCACCCTATTTTCTATAATTTTTCGTTACTTCTTATACATTTACTTCTTTTATATTCTCCTACACTTCTCTTTACTTATATATCACCGTATATTCTATAATGTTTCTTTACTTCTTATATATTTACTTCTTTTATATTCTTCTACACTTCTCTTTACTTATATATCACCGTATATTCTATAATGTTTCTTTACTTCTTATACATTTACTTCTTTTATATTCTCCTACACTTCTCTTTACTTATATATCACCGCATATTCTATAATGTTTCTTTACTTCTTATACATTTACTTCTTTTATATTCTCCTACACTTCTCTTTACTTATATATCACCCTATATTCTATAATGTTTCTTTCCGTATATTCTATAATGTTTCTTTACTTCTTATACATTTACTTCTTTTATATTCTCCTACACTTCTCTTTTTATACTTCTCCCATACTTCTAGTAATTTAAATGACTCACCAATGTACTATTCTTAATGCTACCCTTAAAAGGCTTTTTTTCTGCTCAAGAGTAAAGTAGATTTCAATGTTTTCGTGTTTTAAAAAGTTTTATTTTCGTTTGCATGGTTTTTTGCGCATTTCTTTGCTTTAGAAACCATGGAGAAATTATTGAAATTAAACATTTTTGAAGCCATTAATGTTCAGAGTAAGGTTTCAAGAGTACTGTTGTGAATTGGGTATGTAACGTTTCTTTTTTTTGCGTCAATGAAGGGCTCCTTAAAATGAAGACGACAGTCCCTTTAAGGATCCGATTTTTTCTCTTCTCCGTCCTTTTCTTTCGTTAAATACATTCCTGCACTTCCTCCATTTCCTTCCTGTTTTTGTCTCATTGATTCTTTTTCCGTCGTTTCGTATTATTTACCGGTTCTTTTTATTTAAGTCTTGTTTCTGCCCCCCCCCCCCCCATCTATCTCTCTCTATCTCCATATAAAGGTTTAAAAGTCCGTATATGGGAGATCTTATTCTCTGAACTAGGCGTTGTCGGTGTGGGTTTAAAACCAAATCAAAATTTGAATTTCCCGAGTATCTGTTTTCCCCTTGACCTCTAGTCTCCACCCGTACTGACCGAAACCTGTTCACAGATATACAGTATCTAGTGCAGGGTCCGGAGAAGGTCTTACGCAACCTTTGCATTCCTCTTATCCGCTCCCGTCCGCAGAATAATTTCCTTCGGGATTAAAGTATTACTTAGATGTAATCTTAATTGAATAAATAAAACACCTCATAAGTCAGAAGATTTAAAACAATTTCTTGAAATAATTCTTTAACTAGTTTTTTTATTTCGGGAGGAAGGGTTGGTTTTAAGACCAAAGTATGTCCAGTTGAATAATAGGAGAATGAGCGGAACTTTGCACGGTTTTTATCCCTAATGTGCGTTGTTTTTGTAGGCGCACAGGGAAAGGTCGAACTTTACATTCTTGTTAAACGTCCTAACTTATAATAACTCTTGGAGGACATAGGCCATAGGGGACACAGGAAAAGGATAGATTGTGGATATATTGTAGACCTAAAGAGATGGAGTGGATACACGTTGTAGACCTTGAGACATGGAATAGATATATATTGTAGATCTAAAGAGTTGGAGTGGATACATATTGTAGACCTAAAGAGATAGAGTGGATACATATTTTAGACCTAGAGTGATGGAGTGGAATCATTTTGTAGACCTAGAGAGATGGAGTGGATACATATTGTAGACCTAGTAGATGAAGTGGATACATATTGTAGAACTAGAGAGATGGAGTGGATACATATTGTAGAACTAGAGAGATGGAGTGGATACATATTGTAAAACTAAAGAGATGGAGTGGATATATTGTAGACCTAGAGAGATGGAGTGGATACATACTGTAGAACTAGAGAGATGGAGTGGATACATATTGTAGAACTAGAGAGATGGAGTGGACACATATTGTAAAAATAAAGAGATGGAGTTGATATATTGTAGAACTAGAGAGATGGAGTGGATACATATTGTAGAACTAGAGAGATGGAGTGGATACATATTGTGGAAGAAGAGAGATGGAGTGGATACATATTGTAGAACTAGAGAGATGGAGTGGATACATATTGTAGAACTAGAGAGATGGAGTGGATACATATTGTGAAAGAAGAGCGATTGAGTGGATACATAATGTAGAACTAGAGAGATGGAGTGGATACATATTGTAGAACTAGAGAGATGGAGTGGATACATATTGTAGACCTAGAGAGATGGAGTGGATACATATTGTAGAACTAGAGAGACGGAGTGGATACATATTGTATAACTAGAGAGATGGAGTGGATACATATTGTAGAACTAGAGAGATGGAGTGGATACATATTGTAGAACTAGAGAGATGGAGTGGATAAATATTGTAGAACTAGAGAGATGGAGTGGGTACATATTGTAGAACTAGAGAGATGGAGTGGGTATATATTGTAGAACTAGAGAGATGGAGTGGATACATATTATAGACCTAGAGAGATGGAGTGGGTACATATTGTAGACCTAGAGAGATGGAGTGGATACATACTGTATTTTCTTCTCTCAAATTGAGTTTCCGACGAAGTTGAGGTTAAAATTCAAATATTCTGTCCCGTCCTAAAAGTCCTAATCGCGAGCTATGTGCAATCTCATATGATATGATTCACCCTGCTTAGTATACATTTAGTGCATTTATAAGTCACTACGGGTTTATACAAGTATTTACACCAGCTAAGTTCAATCCAATGTGATAGAAACACCCAGTATATCCTTGCAATCCGATATAATGTTAGACACCCTGTATAGCCTTGCAATATAATAAAATTTGAATCACCCTGTATATACTAGCAATACGATATAATTTGAATCATCCTGTATATACTATCAATACAATATAATTTAAATCCCTCTGCACAGTGCATATAATATATATAATAATAATAATATGTAATAATAATACAACATAATTTTAATCACCCTGTAAACCCTTGCAATATAATCTAATGTTAAGCACCCTGTATATCCTTGCAATAAAATCTAATATAAAACACCCTTTATATATCCTTGCAATAAAATCTAATATAAAACACCCTGTATAGTGTATATCCTTGCAAGCTAATATGATATAAAACACCCTGTATAGTGTATATCCTTGCAATCTAATATGATATAAAACACCCTGTATATATCCTTGAAATCTAATATGATCTAAAACACCCTGTATATATCTTTGCAATCTAATATGATATAAAACACCTTGTATATATCCTTGCAATCTAATATGATCTAAAACACCCTGTATATATACTTGCAATCTAATATGATCTAAAACACCCTGTATATATCCTTGCAATCTAATATGATCTAAAACACCCTGTATATATCCTTGCAATCTAATATGATTCATATTCTTCCTCCAAGCCCCCTCATTACAGGGTTCTAATTTCTATCCTATTACTATAGTGGATGCACTGCATTCCTTAGTTACCAGAATTAATAGGTTTAGATTTCTTTTATTGATAATTCCTTCAGTTGGTGTTTTCTTCATTTTTCTTCACGTTTCTTTTTATTCTTTTGTAAAATAGACAGAATTCATCCAACATTTGTTATCTTGTTGGTTTGATTTTATGCAGAATTATGAAGGGGGGAAATTATACGATTAGATTTTAGAATTTAAGTTAAGGTTTCAATCTTGAATGCAATTTACTTTAGGTTCACGTGATCTCCAGCATATATGTTCTTCTCTTTCCATTACTTTAGGTTGACGTGATCTCCAGCATATATGTTCTTCTCTTTCCATTACTTTCGGTTGACGTGATCTCCAAACACTTTTTTTCCTCTTTTCACTTTTCCTTTCATCCCTTCTCTGCATCCACCTTCACTCTTCCGTAATATCTTCATTCCTTTATTTTTTCTTCTTCCTCACTCTCAACTTCCTTATCATCTACCCCTTCCCCCCCCCCTCCTTATATTCTGTGTTTTAAGCCAGTCTTCCATCCGTGCTCACTAATAATTATATGTTTTTAAAGCTTAAATGTTTACAATATGGATTATGTATCCCCCCATCTGTATGAAGTACCCAGTACCCACATTATGTATATATTCCATACAAATACACTTCTTTCCTTGCATTTTATTCTTTGTGCAATATGCTATTTTTAGACTCTGTAAATGCGATCCAGATTGTTTTAAGATATATTATAATAGTGTTTTGTAATGAACTTCTATGTTCCTAGGTTATTATCAAACATATTTGATAATTATTTTGTTGATTTGTAATCCTTCTCCCGTTTTTATTTCTTCATTATTCCTCGTATTTTGTCTTAAAATATTGTTTTTTAGGACCATGTTGTTTTGATGATGAGACTGTGGAGATTGAGGCGGAGAAGTGATCCTAATCCTGATCCTCAGGTATTTAATCCTAATCCTGATCCTCATGTATTTAATCCTAATCCTGATCCTCAGGTATTTAATCCTAATACTGATCCTCAGGTATCTAATCCTAATCATTATCCTTAGGTATTTAATCCTAATTCTTCCTTGATCCTCATTAATTTAATCCTCTTTTTTGATCCTTTAGCCCTAATTCTGATCCTCAGAGGTATTCGATTCTCTTCATCGATCCTTTGATTTTAATCCTGATCCTCAGGTATTTAATCTTCTTCATTAATCCTTTCATCCTGATCCTGATCCTCAGGTATATAATTCTCTTAATTCATCCTTTAATCCTAATCCTGATCCTTAGGTATAAAATTCTTTTCATGATTCTTTAATCCTAATCCTGTCGTTGAGGTTTTAAATCCTCTTATTGATCCTTTTATACCTACTCCTTACGACTAGCTATTTGGTTATAACAATTTCAGATATATCCTCTAAACTAAACTATTTAAATCCTATTATTTAAATTTATTTGCATTCCGCTTTAGTTTCTGATTCATGTAATTAAAGTGTATTGTAATATTGTTGCTTCCTTGTATACACTTGTTTAATTGCAACCATCTGATAATACAATACAAAGAGACAGTTTACCAGCAAATATTATATAATATCAACTATACAGGCTGCAGGCTATTCATACCACATAATCAGTACGCATAATTCTCATTAGCATTGCCCAATATTTTCATTTAATTTCAAGGGACCCTCCATGAAAAGATGGCAATGTCCGATTCCTTAAGTTACCCTTAAAAGCTTTGTCCATGCTGAAGTATGAATTAGATGTCAATGTTTAAAATTTTGAAAACTGACTATTATCGATTGCATGGGTTTTCTACAAAAGTGGCTTGCGCATTTCTATTGCAGGAAAACATGTAGGAATTATCTATGGTAGGGTGGATGAGTAGGTTGGGTCATGGGTCTATTGTTAAACTATTCATTGATTAATGGAAAAGTTCTCTGCTTTGTGTTTTCGTGTATTTAGGGGGTCAAGGGGTCATTTCTGGGTTTTGGGCACAATTTGACATAAAATACATCAGATATATATGTAAACAAGGAAGGTTTTGACCTAACAGAGAGAAACTTAAAAGCACATATTCTTAATATGCAAACAGATCTTCTCCTTTCTGGTCATACTGTCAGAAAACCCGGATGCATGTAAAGATCGAATTAAAAAAAGAAAATATTATGAGTTTAGTAAGAATACAGAATGCAGAAAATATAATGAGTTTAGTAAGAATACAGAATACAGAAAATATAATGAGCTTAGTAAGAATACAGAATACAGAAAATATGAGTTTAGTAAGAATAAAGAATGCAGAAAATATAATGAGTTTAGTAAGAATACAGAATACACAAAATATAATGAGTTTAGTAAGAATACAGAATGCAGAAAATATAATGAGTTTAGTAAGAATACAGAATACAGAAAATATAATGAGTTTAATAAGCATACAGAATACAGAAAATATAATGAGCTTAGTAAGAATAAAGAATACAGGATACTTAATAAGTTTAGTATGAATACAGAATACTGAAAATATAATTAGTCTAGTAAGAATACAGATACAGAATATATAATGAGTTTAGTAAAAAAACAGAAAAAGGGAAAAAAGAACTGGTTTAATAAGAATACAGAATACAGAAAATATAATGGGTTTAGTAAGAATAAATGATACAGAATACAGAAAATATAATGGGTTTAGTAAGAATACATAATACAGAATACAGAAAATATGATTGGCTTAGTAAGAATGCATAATACAGAATACAGAAAATATGATGGGCTTAGTAAGAATACAGAATACAAAAAAAAATACCCGGCCATTGTAGTAAATTACGATTTAGCTATTTTTTCCATTTAAAGTGGACCCACTCAATTTAGAATCTTAAAACCAAGCTAAGAACATTCCCACATTCCCGTGGGTCTCCAAAGTTCCAAAGTAAAAATTTGAGGCAAACAGCCCAGTGGTTCCTGAGTTATGATCGGACATACAAACAGACAGACAGACAAACAGTGATTACAACTTTATACAGATACAGAATACAGAAAATATAATGGGTTTTATAAGAATACAGAATGCAGAAAATAGGATGGATAAACGAATTCATCAAATCTTGCTCCGGGGTCTTCACAGTGTCTAAACAATGATAAATTTAATCCAACTAATCCGACACAACGAATGAATTTTTAATTAACAATCTTTCTAATTAATTGTTCTGAATCCTGATCAGAATTTCATCTCAGACCCTCCACCCTTCTCTGTGTTATTGGTAGGATTGCCTTCACACTGCATCCTGCATATATTTACCGTGTATGTGTGAGGGTATACCTGGTGATGCTGCCTGGTTTGGGTTCCTCAACTTTCTCCAAGGTTCCGAACCTTGCAGGGTTTAAAACCTCTGCTGGTTTGGTTGGGAAACCATGATTGAAATTCAGATAAAGAATTCTCTGCTCGCCTTCAAAATACATACTCACTGCTCTGTGGGAGGTGTAGGGCGGGGAGGATTTAGGGAGGGGCAGATAGAGAGGGAGGGAGGTGGGGAGGGAATAAAATAGAGGGAAGGACATTCAAAATTGGGCGGGATTATTAGAAGTTAAGAAGGGAGGGGCTCGGGAATCAAGGAAGTGGGTATCAAAATCAGCTCAAATTTTAAATGAAAATTTCAGGTGTTATGGAAGCTGAGAGAAATAAATAATTGAAAATATAGATCAGGATTAGGAGTGTAGAGTCTAGAATAAAAAGAAAGGAGAGAGTCTAGAATGAAAGGAAAGTATAGAGTAAGAGTGTAGAGTCTAGAATAAAAAGAAAGGATAGATATAGAGTTTAAAGTCTAGAAAAGTGTGTAGAGTCTATAAAGGAAAGTGTAGAGTCTATAAAGGAAAGTGTAGAGTCTAGAAAGGAAAGTGTAGAGCCTATAAATGAAAGTGTAGAGTCTAGAAAGGAAAGTGTGTATAGTCGAGAAAGAAAAGTGTATAGCCTAGAAAGGAAAGTGTGTAGAGTCTAGAAAGGAAAGTGTTGAGTCTAGAAAGGAAAGTGAGAAATGCCAAGTATTGGGTGGAATAACAATATGCACTATGGTCATAGTTTAATCTTAAAATTCAATCTGAATCGCATTCGCATAGTTAAACTAGAATCAAGCTTATATGTATATTTTAACCAATAAAGGTGCAGGCTGAACATTTTAGTTCTTCAAACTTAAATTATTGGATACGTAGATACGCACTCCAACAGATAAAAATTATAGAGAACGATTTAAAGGTAATAGGAAGGTCTTTGTAGAAGAGCAAATTACATGAAAATAAATTAAGAAAACATCGTTAATCTGCCTCAAGATAGGTGAACGAATACAAAGACTGCTGGAAGCATTCTATAGATAAATCCAACTATGAGAGAAGGTCAAATCTTATATCATTTGAATTCAAACCAATAATATAAAACAGAATAGTAAATATTAATAGTTTAGAGTGGTAAATAAAGCTCTTTATCATTGAAAAAAATAATCAATTGCTTGATCAAATCTGAACTATTTCTGATTATAATATTTAAAAGCCCCATTGTTCTCAAATAATGCTCTTGAATGGAAAGATCAAAAGATCAAATCTGAATAAATTGTTTAGTCCAACAACTTTTTAAAGCTGAAAGGTTGAGCTACGACGAGGAGAAAGTGATGACAGGATTCATTGAAAGGATTTGAATGGGGTGCTAAACATGTAGTTTGTATATAAACTGCTGGAACTAACGTTTATTCATACAACGGATTAGACCTAACTTTCATCGTATCAAAGACCAAGCATGCATATGTAATATGTTTATAAACAAGCTTGCGCAAGAAACTGTTCATTGATATATATATAATATATATATTAGTAATTAATGTTCGCTGGTTTGTTTGTTTGTATGTCCGATCATAACTTGTAAACCCCCTTACCGATTTGCCACAAATTTTGAATGGGGAACTAGGAAGATACACGGGAATGTTAATAGCTCGGTTCAAACATTACAAGATGAATGGGTTGGTTTCAGAAGAGAAAGTTTAGCTTCCAGGCAACCCTGGGTTTCCAAGCTATTATTAGTATAAAGTTTCCAAGCTAGTATTAGTATAACGTTTCCAAGCTAGTATTAGTATAAAGTTTCCAAGCTAGTATTAGTATAAAGTTTCCAAGCTAGTATTAGTATAAAGTTTCCAAGCTAGTATTAGTATAAAGTTTCCAAGCTAGTATTAGTATAAAGTTTCCAAGCTAGTATTAGTATAAAGTTTCCAAGCTAGTATTAGTACAAAGTTTCCAAGCTAGTATTAGTACAAAGTTTCCAAAGCTAGTATTAGTATAAAGGCGGTGAAATACGAGTACTTGTATATTTTGAACTCCACAAAGAATATTTTTACATTTTTGACCGGGTAAAAGTACAAAAATTGCGTAAACATCCTTTCTTCTTATTCTTCCTTGTATCTAGTTTAATCAGACCTTGTATGTAAGACTGTAAAGATGCAATTAACATCATGTTGTTTCAGTTAACGGGGTTGCGCATTTCTCCGGAGAAGGTTGAGAAGAGGGAGAGGAACGGAGACGAGACCTGGTGCACGGTTTCACTGAACAGTTCTGCTCATACTACTCCGGGTTCATACAAGAAAGGTAAGGGTTAGAGAAGAAGAAAACTTAGTAAGCTAACGGCAATATATAAAATCAAATTATTTTTTAATAAATCACCTAAGTTCAAGGTTTAGAATCACTGAACTTCTCTAGATAAGATTTATTGATCAGGGTTCGGAAGCAACTTGACATGATTTATAATCTATCAGGGTCGGGTTAGTGAGCCATCCCTAGGTTCAATGAGACGGAGGAGATAATTAAACTAATGTTCTTCTCCTTCAAGTATCTTCGGAACCCAGATATATAAGTACTCAGAGCTTCCTTGAACACAGGAGCACTAGATTGGTGTATGCAGAGGGGGAGGGGAACTTCGGAAGCGTAAAGTTCGCATAAAATTACTCTTTGCTTTAAGTTAAGCTTCGCGCCCATCTCCTATTTCAACTTTTAATTGTGGCTTTATCTCTGAACATCTTCTCGTTGTACAGTATAAAACAAAAACAAAAAAAGTTTGCGGATTTCATAATATTTTTTTGTGCATTTTCAAAATTTTTCAAAAATAAAAAACTTTTAAACATAAATATTTAAAATTTTGAGCATTATTAAACATTCCCGGGGGTCACGTGGGGTCCCGCAAAAAATTTGGGCCCGATCGGTTCAGCCGTTTTGACGTTTATTGGATACAAAGAAACAAACAAACAAACAGACACACACCCAGACAGACAAGCCAAATTTATATATAGATATATCTACATTTGTTTAACAAGTTTTGATATTTCAGAGTTCGCTCATTTATATTTTTGATTCCAGAACTTGCTATACACGGCTTTTGGAATCCTTTATTAGTTAAAGAGAATACTCTTTAAACCCTTTAAACACTTTAAACCCTTTAAACCCTTTAAATTCGGAAAATATCTTCGTTTTTCTTATTTACAAGTGTTTAATTCTGATAATTTCCTCATGGTGTTTCTGCAGAAGAAATGTGTAAGTCACTTTTGTAGAGAAATCATAATTTAAATCAATGAATTTCTGAAAGTTAAACATGGATATATAATTGATTCTTGATACAGGGATTTTAAGAGAACCGTTGTGAATCGAAGGTCTCCCTTTACTTGAGAGCCTCATTTCATTTTCAGTGTTGAATTCTTGATTTTTCATCATTGCAGAGTTTTAGGTTGATTTTTCAATATTATCCGAGGAATATAGAACTTCTCTGTCATTGTTGTCAAGTTGCAATGACTGCATGTATATTGTAGATGTTGATAAAGATGTTTAGAATATTTTTCTCTTCTCTCCTAACATCAACAAAGGTTCAACATGACTTTAGATTGTAGCTGAGAACCTTATATAAAGGATTGTCGGGTTGAGACGGATAGGATGGTATCATGTTCATACATAATAGAGTTCTAGAATATCCTGCCTGGGGACTTAGCTCATTAATTAGGTACCTAGAGAGTCGGAGAACCTTGAACTTTCTTCAAATTAGTTTTCAGGTTCGCAGCAAACCCAGAACCATCCTTATTCGTCTTAATCTCAGCTCACTCAAACTATCGTCTGTCATAATCATTTGGCAAAACAAATGATTGGTTTGGAACCCTACTCCGATCCTGGAGATCGCAATCTATCCTAGATCAGTCTCTGCAAACTTGAAACCTTGTCCTGGTTCAGGGATAATCTTGGGTGGTTCTTTTATATAAATGAACTTTTTGGCGTTTCCCTGGTAAAAATGATCATAACGAAAATAGTTCAGATTTGTAATAACATTAACAAAAACTTACACTAGTAAAATTTGATAGATATTTGTTGTAAAATCATTTATTTTCACAGATTTTTTTTTCGTAGTTGTTAAAACAAGAGTTTCTCGTTTTTTTCTGATGTTTTGCATTGATAAGAACTGTTTTCTCAGCTCCCTATTGTAAAGAATAATATGTTGCGTCACCCAACATGAACTGTGTGTCCATATACAAAATCCATCACGAAATCCCGTTGAGAATGGATCTTTGACGCGCGTCTTTTGCGTTAGAAAAGTGATTACGCAATTCTTGTATAGGGAACCATGGGTGTCATGGTTATTCAAATTTGGCTGACCTATTCTTCATAATCCACACTATACAGTCGACTATACACTGCTACTTATTCTTCATAATCCACACTATACAGTCGACTATACACTGCTACTTATTCTTTTATGTCAGCTTTTTATTTCTTTATAACTATTACATAAAGGAACTGAGTATTAGAAAAAAACTAAAATTTTACTATCGTCATAACTTTGCAGCCCAATGTCGTAGACCTTAGACATTTCAAACTATGAATACTGGTAAATCAAATAATATGATTTTAAAATATCATAGTTTTACACTATCCAGTTGCAGAGATATTAGGTTTAGAAAATCTGAGTTTGTGACAAAAACTCAATTTCTTTATATTTATCAATGAATCTTCTATTCTAAATTCAAATTTTATCCCATTTGAGATTGTCTTCGACTTACGTTTAAAAAATTTGAGTCTTTGCAACAAATTCTGATTTTCTAATCCCTATATCTTTACAATCTGATATTTCAAACCTATATTATTTGCTCTGCCAGAATTCATAACTTTTAGCCAAGGTCTATGAAATTGGGTGGCAAAGAGTTTGTTGCAATGACTCAATTTCTTTGTTCTTTCTGATTCTTCCGAGTTTGACTTTTGAACATTTACCTTTACAATTAAATCCGTTTTTCATTTGTCGTTTCTTTAAATTTCCAATTGATATTTTCACTTTAACTCCTTTTTAATCTTGTGAACAACAATTAAAGTTGTGCATCTCGCATCTTTTTGCAGTTCGAGAATTGTAATTAGTATGGAGAAAGCGTCGTTTCACGATGATAATAATAATAATAATAAATTGATTTTAAATTGATTGATTGATTGAAGGTTGGCGGGAAGTTCCCGCGTTCTAATCAACAATAAATTGAGACAGATGATTTCCAAGTTTTTAACAAAATTTATCGGAATATAATATTAGATTACTCAGCGGTATTTTTACCTAATATTTTCTTGATTGAAACGAAACTTACAGATATTTTAAGTCGGTAATGTCGTCTTTAATCTCGTCGGGAAACATAAAAAAAATGAAAAGATTTCAACTACAGTGGTCTCCAGAAACTATGAAAAACAATGATGATTTTAAGTCTAAAGATATTATTTGTCCAATGAACATGAGAAAAAACATTTGAGCAGTGTGCATGGACCCATCTTACTTTATAGGCTGATTTTTTTGTAGTTTTATTTGAATCTATGTTTCAATCCTAATCTGAATGAATTTAATTGTTTTGATGTTTTAGTCTAAAAAATCTAAAAAATCTAAAAAATCTAAAAAATCTAAAAAATCTAAAAAATCTTAAAAAATCTAAAAATCTGAAAAATCTAAAAATGTTGAGTTAAATACAACACACGTTCATCCCATATACTTAAAGTATTGTTCTTAAGCTTTCCGGTTTTGTCGCCGGAAGTTCCGTCTCCGGTCTGAACTTAAACCTGGGGCGGAGCTAAACTGTATCCGGGATCTAATCTAAAACCAGGGTTCACCATTCTTCTCTTTTCTCCATGTACATCTGGTTCCCATGATCATTTAACTTATTACCACCCCTATTGTATTTACAACTCTTTTAATGCATTCTCGATCTATTGTTTAAAGTATCCTATACACTAGAATTATCTATCAGGATTTTAACAAAACATATTTGTTACCCCCCATCCTTCTCTGATATATCTGATAGGCAGGATATGAGATGTAAACCTAAATCTTTGTCTAGATTGCTGCAACATCTAGAAAAAGGTTTTCCTATCCTCCCATCCTGCCATCTTGTACTGATATCCTTCTTGCGGTACTTTAACTACAGGGTTCAAGTGTATCATATTGTTGTGTGGTTAAAGTGTTGGTTTTGCTGCACTTTCGGGGTATATGGAGACTATATAGAAGGATGGGGGTATTATGATACCAAATACACAACGTTATTCTAAAAACTTTAAAAGGGTTATCCACTATTAGGATGAGACTTTTCAGACGACTTTGAATTCTTCAAATTCCACGATTTAACGTTTTCCATTTGGTCCTGTAGGTAAAATCTTTCTTTTTAAAAATTCCAGTCGGGTTGAAAGACAGGAAATAAAATTAAATAAAATCCTTGCAGTCGTCTCAGATGTCGCATATTCTGTGGTTAACCCTGGTCAGTAACCATACAGTAGAAAAGTACAGCCTGCTGACAAACTTCGATGGGGAATGTTAATTTTTAATCTCTTTATATTGTTACAATCAAACCCAAAATAAGCAATATACGCTGGTCAACCTGATTTATGATAATTCACAACAGTTGTCAACATAGAGAATAGAATTTCTAGTAAATTCCCCTCTAATATATATTCTATTATCTATGGTTGTCAATCATTCACTTATGATACTCATTCATGGAGCTAAATTCAATTCTATTTGTTTCTAATATTGATTTGTGTTGCTGTGGTCGGATCAAAGTCAGGAATGAAATGTTTTCGGTTAGGTTTGGTTGTGATGAAACCACAAGTTCGGAGCAAGTTCTTAAATCAACCCTGAGCATATCTAATCTTTAATGATGGTCCGGGTTTATATATAGATATATTCTACAATTATGTATTATACATATATGCATATAAATTGTATGCGTAGGATTGATTACAATTGACAACATGTTGTGTCTCTAAGAGACTGTTCTCGGCTGCACACCGGACAAGCATCGTAACAAAACATCCTTTTAATAGACTTGAAAACAAGATGAAACGTTTGTTCATACTGTACAATTTTAATATTTTAAATTTTAGGGTTCAACTTTTTTTTTCACTTAAACAATATTTATAGAATATTTTCCTACAATTACGAAGGCCTTGTGTGGATTCTCTTTATGGGGGGGGTAAATTGCAGACACTATTTACACGATAAATGTATACTAATTGATTTCTGATTGCAGTATCAAGGAATCAGAGTTTCATTAATATAAATCAAATAATGAAGGAGCAGATCTAATCTAACT